GTGAAAGGTTAAAAGCTTTCCCTCTAAGAATGGGAATAAGACAAAGGGTGCCCACTTTCATCACTGCTGTTCAACAGAGTAATGAAAGTTTTAGCCACAGGAGTTAGGTAAGGAAAAAATAAAAAAGGGCACTCAAATTAAAGAGAAAGAAGTAAAACTTGTCTGTTTGTACATGAGATGATCTTATACAGAGAAAATCCTTAAGACTCCACCAAAAAAACCCCAGTTAGAACGAACAAATAAATTCAGTAAAGTTACAGGATACAAAATCAATATATAAGAATCAGTTGAATCTCTATACACTAACAACAATCAGAAAGAGAAATTAAGAAAAGGATCTCATTTATAATAGCATGAAAAAATAATACTTAGGAATAAATTTAACTAAGGAGGTAAAAAATCTGTACACTGAAAACTGTGTAATATGATAAAAAAAACAGAAAAAAGACATAAATGGAAGGATATCCCATGTTCATGGATTGGAATAATTAATATTGTCAAAATGTCCATATTACCTAAAGTCATTTATAAATTCATTGTAATCCCTATGGCACCCTGGCTGGTATGGCTCAGTGGACTGAGTGACAGGCTGAGAACCAATGGGTGGCTAGTTCGATTTCCAGCCAGGGTACATGCCTGGGTTGCAGGCCAGGTCCCCAATGTGAGGCACATGAGAGGCAACCACACATTGATGTTTCTCTCCCTCTCTTTCTCCCTCCCTTCCCCTCTAACAATAAACAAACAAACAAACAAACAAACAAACAAATAAAATCTTACGGGGGAAAAAAACTCCAATGGTGTTTTTCACAGAAACAGAAATAAACAATCCCAAAATTTATGTGGAGCTACAAAAGACCCCACAGAGGCAAAGCAACCCAGAGACAGAAGCAAACTTGAGGCAGCACACTTCCTGATTTCAAACTGTATTACAAAGCTATAGCAATCACACAGTAATCTACTGGCATAAAAATAGACACATAGAAAAACAGAACAGAATTGAGAACCCAGATGTAAACCCCTGCAATAAAGTCAATCAATATTTTTAATGAATTTTTTAAGTCCTCACCCAAGGGTATGTTTATTGATTTTAGAGGGAGAGGAAGGGAGTGAGACAGAAAGAGAGAAACATCAATCAGTTGCCTCCCATAGCACCCCAACTGGGGACTGAACCCACAACAAACATAGGTGCCCTGACCTGGAATCAAACCCACAACTCTTTGGTGTACAGGACAATGTTCCAACCAACTCACCCAACCAGGGCAAGTCAATCAATATATGACAAGGGAGCCAAGAATACTCAGTGGAAAAGAATAGCTTCTTTAATGTGGTGGGACATTTGGAGAACCACATGCAAAAGAATGAAATTGGATCCCTATCTTACATCATTCAACAAATATTAACTGAAAATGGATTAAAAACTAAACACAAGACATGAAACTATAAAACTCCTAAAAGAAAACAGGAAAAAAGCTCCTTGACATTGGCAAGAAAAGCTTCTTGACAATGAATGATCTTTTGGATACAATCACAAAAGCACAAGCAACAAAAGCAAAAATAAACAAGGGAGATTACATCAAACTAAAATGCTTCTACATAGCAAAAGAAACAACAAAATGAGAAGGCAACTTACAGAATGAGGAAAAATATCCACAAACCATCTATCTGATAAGGAATTAAATACGTAAGGAAACCATACAACTGAATAGCAAAACAATAAAGAAACCCAAACAATCCAATTGAAAAATGGACAGAGGACCTGAATACATTTTCTCAGAGAAGACACAAATGGCAAACTGGTACATGAAAAGTTGCTCAGCATCACTAATAGGGAAACGTAAATCAAAACCACAATGAGATATTACCTCAGACCCATTATGATGCCTATTATCAAAAAAGGCAAGAGATAACAGGTGTTGGTGAAGATGTGAAGAAAAGGGAACACTTGTGCACTGTTGGTGGGAATGTAAATTAATATAGCTACTATGAAAACAATATGGAGGTTCCTCAAAAAAGTAAAAACATATTTACCACATAATCCAGCAATCCCACTTCTGGGTATATACCCAAAGGAAATACAATCACCATCTTGGGACATCTGCACTCCCATTTCCGCTGCAGCATTTTTCACAGTAACCATGGTATGGAAACAACTTAAGTGTCCATCAACAGAGGAATGAATAAAGAAAATGTGGTGTGTATGTGTGTATATGTATACATACACACATATATTTGTGTATGTGTGTATGTATACATATATAATTATAGATACACTTATAATATATATACAATGAAATTATGCATCCATTAGAAAGAAGAAAGACCTGCCATTTGAGACAATATGGATGGAATGAAAAGATGCTATACGCTAAGTGAAATAAATCGGAACTTCCAGCCAAGATGGAAGCATAGGTGGACACACTGTGCCTCCTCACACACCCAAAATTGAGGACAACAAAAATTTAGAAACAAAGAAACAACCAGAACACACAGAAAACTGAGCTGTACAGAAGACCCTGGTGGCAGACCCCGGGTGCGGGGAGGCAACAAGCAAACCCAGTGAGGCGCGCAAGGCAGCTGGCTGTCCGCAGTCACAGATTCCTGCACAGATAAACCAGGTGAAAGCGGGCAGTGAGACAGACTGTGCAACCCAGGGCCTCAATGCCAGGAAATAAAGCCTAAAAGCACTGATTGAAAACATTTGTGGAAGTTGAGGTGCAAGGAGAGACTCCCAGCCTCACAGGAGACTTCGTTGGAGAGACCCACAAGGTACTAAAACATACACAAGCCCACCCACCAGGGAACCAGCACCAGAAAGGCCCAATTTGCTTGTGGGAAGCAGCAGAAGGAACTGAAATCCGACAGAGAATGGGGCAAGCTCCATTGTTCCCTCTTGGACCCCACCCCCACATACAGCTTCACAACCCAGTACCATGGGTTACCCTGCCCTGGTGAACACCTAAGGCTCTGCCCCTCACTACGGAACAGGCACAACCAGACCAAGAAAAAAAAAAGGTTCAAACGGAAGAACAAATCAAAGCCCCCGAGCCAATACTTTTACCAAGAGATAGCCAACCTATCTGATGCACAGTTCAAAGCACTGGTCATTAGGGTGCTCACAGAATTGGTAGATTTTGGTCACAAATTAGATTAAAAAAAATGAAGGCTACACTAAGTGAAATGAAGAAAACTGCACAGGGAACCAATAGAGATAGAAAGAAAACTGGGTCTCAAATCAATGGAATGGATCAGAAGGAAGAAAAAAAAACAGTCAGAAAAGAATGAAGAAATAAGAATTCAAAAAAAAATGAGGAGAGGCTTAGGAACCTCCAGGACATCTTGAAACGTTCCAACATCCAAATTATAGGGGTACCAGAAGGGGAAGAGGAAAAGCAACAAGTGGAAAACTTATTTGAGCAAATAATAAAGGAGAACTTCCCCATTCTGGCAAAGGAAATAGACTTCCAGGAAGTCCAGGAAGCTCAGAGAGTCCCAAAGAATTTGGACCCAAGGAGGAACACACCAAGGCACATCATAATTACATTACCCAAGATTAAAATGAAGGAGAGAATTCTAGAAGCATCAAGAGGTAAGGAGACAGTAACCTACTAAGGAGTTCCCATCAGACTGTCAGCTGATTTCTCAAAAGAGACCTTACAGGCAAAAAGGGGCTGGAGAGAAGTATTCCAAGTCATGACAGACAAGGACCTACACCCAAGATTGTTCTATCCAGCAAAGCTTTCATTTAGAATGGAAGGGCAGATAAAGTACTTCTCAGATAAGGTCAACTTAAAGGAGTTCATCATCACCAAGCCCTTATTTTATGAAATGTTAAAAGGACTTATCTAAGAAAAGAAGATAAAGAAAAAACATGTATAGTAAAAGGACAGCAAACTCAATTACTAACAATCACACCTAAAGCAAAACCAAAAGAAACTAAGCAAACAACTAGAACAGGAACAGAACCACAGAAATGGAGATCACATGGAGGGTTAGAAACAGGGGAGTGGGAGGAGGAGAGAGGGGGAAAAGGTACAGAGAATAAGTAGCATAGATTGTAGGTTGAAAATAGATAGGGGGAGGGTAAGAAAAATATGGGAAATGTAGAAGCTAAAGAACTTATAAGTATGACACATGGACATGACTAAGGGGGGATATGGGTGGGAGAGGGTGTACAGGGTAGAGGGGAGTGAAGGGGGGAAATGGGACAACTGTAATAGCATAATCAATAAAATATATTTTTTAAAAATTTAATTCTCAGGAGAAAACACATTACCCATAAATTTATAATTCAGTGATCACCACTGTTTGTACATTAGTGTATTTATATCTAGTATTTATATATCTACTTTATATAATTAAATAATTATATATTTAGGCAGAGAAAAATTATATATTTAGGCACAGACACTTTTTCTTTCTTTTCCTATTACAAAATGACAATCATACTCTCTATATACAGCTTTATGTACTACTCTTTTCACTTAACACGTTTCCATGTTATTAAAAATGATTACAAACATGTTTATGGCATTACAGTATTTCAAATTATGGATGCACCATACATAATGTGGCATTAGACTGTTTCTAGTTTTCATTATTATTAAAATGCCAAAGTGAATATTTTTATATATAAATCTTTGAATCTGATCACTTCCTTGGAAAAAAACATCTAGAAGTAAGGTTTCTGAGCTAAAAAAACTGAACAATTTTTAAGACTTTTGATATAAGGTTGACTGCTCTCCGTTAAGGTAATGACATGACTCACCCATAATCTACAGTGTGTAAAAGTGACCATTTACAGTATGTGCTTACATGTCCACCTCTCTCAAGAGACTATGAGTTCCTGTGAGAACTTACATTCATGTATATTCATCTTTGTGTGTGATATATACCACATGCTAAATAAATGGCTACTGAACTAAATTACAGCACAATGGCAAAACTGTACTCTCCTGCTGAAAAAGAATGAGGAATCCTCATTAGGAACATACATGTCCTACCTCTGCTGCTGAAGCAAAAGAATCAGTTGACGCAACGCTCAAGGTGTCTCGCAGGCCGAAGTCATCCACATTCCCCTTCATAGTGATATCCGTATCTTTATCTTAAAAAGAATATGAAAGGTTTAGAGACTGATAATCCTTGTCACTGTCATACTTCATACTCTATAGTTGGTTTTTCTTTTTCTTTTTACTCCAGTCTCTCTTTATACAGACTGCTGCAGCCTAAAAGGAAAACACTACAAACCAATGGGACATAATCTGAGCAGACTCTCAAAGTGTATTCTTTGTTAACTGATTGTGAAACACTGCCAGAAAAGAAAGTGCTATAAAGTAGACACTTTTGCTTTAAAGGGGGATTAAATTTAATTTTGGATTAAAAACATTTTTGAGTATATAATAACTTAAATTGGTATATAAAAACTGCAGTTAATAATCTACTCTACATGGTAAAATAAGTATATTACCAAAGACAGTATGAAACAGAGCAATTTAGTTCCAAGTGGCCTTGCTCATATTGAACAAACTAGTAGGTTCAGTAAAATTAAATAAATTATTAACATAAAATGTTATCCAGCCTCTCAGTTGTGATAAACTGATCAATTATAACAATTCAAGAAGGTATCTCAGTTCTTCTGGTCTTTAAGGCCCCTTTAGAACACTGAAAAGTCCAAAAGTGAAGAGATCTAGGTCTTTCACACTTACTCTCCCTACCTGAGGGTCAAATATAACTGCTCCAGTGATTTTAAAGGTCTGGAAAAGTTTAATACATTTTCAAATAGTTAATCTATCTCGACAGGCTACCTATAAGCAATACACAACATTCTGAATGTGTGTGCCAATGTCTTCACATACTATCATCAGGAATCTGTTAACATTAAGCTTTCAAATACTGTACTTGCTTACCAAATGACCACATTGTAGCAAGCAATTGATATGCTTCAAAATTTATCACAAGTATGAAAAAGAAAACAACAAAATATATTCAGATTTTTCTTATTTTGGTACTCAATCTGCTAACTTTGTCAGATACTTTATCTTTAAAAAGGAACCAGAACTCTCTTTGGCTTTCATTCATTCAAATTTCAATTGCATCATTTTTCCTAAAATAAAATTCATTACCTTTACCAGAAATTTCCCAGGCTCTTTTAAAGTTCCAAGTACCAGAAAAAACAGACATTTTGTGATTCTATACTGGAAGTGTAAGGTTTTTAAAGATCCAAATCATTAATTTATTTTAAAGTCAAAAGTTTTTAAAACAATTTATATTCTAAGCTCTAGCCAAGCAAAAAAGCAAATAAGCCATAATTGGTACAAAATTGATTCCTATTAAGTATCAAAAATAACCATATACATAGCATATTTTTTACTACTGTATATCTGATGAAACCATAGTTAACATTTTAACCATTTATCTTCTAAGTTTAAATTAAAATTGTTATCAACTGAAGTTTACAGTAATCCTTTAAAAATATCTAACTTGTCAGCTTAAAATCCTTGTAACTACTAAATTAATAATGGAATCTGAGGTTGAATTATTCTATTTTCAAAAATACATGTTCTTTTAGAAATGTTAATTTTTCATCAAATTTGGGAACAAAACAACACAATTGTTTTACATGTATAAACAGCTATAAAATTGGTATTTCTGGAAACTCAATTATCCAGAAAAACATCAATTATTCTCCTTTCAGTGCATATATGATCTTTTGAAATGCATGCACAAACTGACACATTAATTATTTATAAAACTGAACTGGCATTTAGAACTTTCAAACCTTTAACTTCTCATAATTTTCCATTATGAGTATTAACTGTACAAAAAGAAGTCACAGTACAATTTTCATTTTGCCAAAGGACTTTTAAAGCAGGATGAAATTACTAGCCAATTAAGTTAAATCTTGGTTCCATATGCCTTTTGCTATTTTCAGAATGGAACACAGACATTTATCTCATGTCACTTTACCTTTCAGACATTACCCATGAGCTGTTAAAAGTCTGTTTTACTTCACTCAACAGAAACCAGCCACTCAACATCATCCAGATCAGTTACCATGATTGTACTTTATTTTTTAAAAAATCTAACAAAAAAATGGCTCAGAAGAACTGGAAAGGTTTATTCATTGAATCCAGCTTTGTAAACCACAGATCATACTTCTCATTTCAGTAATAGTTATGCTTCCTGGAGTGGCAGCTTAATAATTATGAAGAGAAATAATATATCTGTTTTTCAGATAAGCCAATAAAAAGTATAAAGAAAGAATATTGGGCAATATCTCAAACTTACTGCTTTCATGCATCCAATTAAAATTTAAAATACTTTTTTATCACCAAGCCCTTATCATATAAAATATTAAAAGGACTTATCTAAGAAAAAGAGAAAGATCAAAAATATGAACAATAAAATGAAAACAAACCCACAACTTTTGACAACCAAACCTAAAAAAACAAAAACAAACTAAGCAAACAACTGGAACAGGAACAGATTCATAGAAATAGAGACCACATGGAGGGTTATCAGCAGGGAGAGGGAGGGGAAGAATGGGGGAAAAGGTACAGGGAATAAGAAGCATGAATGGCAAGTACAAAAGAGACAGGGAGCTTAAGAAGAGTATAGGAAATGGAGAAGTCAAAGAACTTGTATGTATGACCCATGGACGTGAACTAAGGCGGGGGAGAGGGGAATGCTGGTGGGGGGATACAGGGTGGAGGGGGATAAAAAAAGAAGAAAAAAAGGAAAAACTAAAATTTAAAATACTTTTTGAACCTAATACAAAATAATACTGAATGTAAACTGTAATTGAAAAATAAAATTGAAAAAAATTAAATACCCTTTCTAAAAAATATCATCAACTCTTGATTGTGGTATTGAAAGGCAAAGACAGCATAGAAAATTGGAAACCAAAGCTTTCATCTTTTTTTCTTTTTTGTGACTGTCAGTCTCACTCTTTTTTTTTTAAGGTTTTTATTTATTTATTTTTAGAGAGGAAAGGGAAGGAGTGAGGGGGAGAGAGAGAGAGAGAGAGAGAGAAACATCAATGTGCGGTTGCTGGGGGTCATGGCCTGCAACCCAGGCATGTACCCTGACTGGGAATCGAACCTGCGACACTTTGGTTCGCAGCACACGCTCAATCCACTGAGCTACGCCAGCTGGAGGCAAAGCCTTCATCTTAATCAATATTTGCAGGAATATTTTCCTATCAAATTTTTCTTAGAAGGAAAAAATGCTAAAGTCACAATGAGATATCGTTACACACCTACTAGAATTACTGAACTGGGAAAAAATGGCCATTTTTGTTGTTAAGGATGTACATGGAAATTCTCACATGCCACACTGGTAGCAATGTCAACTGGTAGAACCATGGAGGAAATTTTGACATTATCTATTAAACTTCAAGATTGCCTTCCATATGACCTAGCAATTCTATCTTTGGGTATCTTTTACAGAAATGCATACTTATGTGCATAAGAATGTTCATAACAGCATTTATAATAGCTCCAAAATGGAGAAAAACCTATGTCCATCACCACAGAATACATAAACTGTGGTATGTTCATATAGGGAAATACCACACAACAATAAAAGTGAATGAACTGCTAGTACATGCAAGAATGTGGATGAATTTCACAATACATTGAATGAAGAATTATATGTATGATTTCATTCATATTAAAATTCAAAAACAGGCAAAACTATACTGAATTGATTACTAAGTTGGTAAAACTATAAAGAAAAACCAGGAAGTACACAGCACTAGCAACAGAACAGTGGTTAATTTGGTGAGTAGGTGGAAGAGCTATTGATTGCCAGGAGGTACAAGGGGATCTTTTAGGAATTTGGCAATGTTTTATTTTTTGATCTACATAATACCTACACAACAGGGTGTGATAAATTACTGTATTATATTGTTTTGTGCACTTTCCTCTGAGGGTTTAGAAGGAAAGAAAACAATAAATCTATATATTTTGGCCACAAATGGGTGAAAGAAAAGACCATGAAATACTTTCTGTATTTCAATGTTGGCAGTAAAACTTTATTAGACATGAATTTCACACCCTAGAAGATGAGGCATCTATAATGATGCTAGGTTAAAAGTGAAAAGATCTGACCAGTCTGTTAGATATAACAGCAAAGTGAAAATAATTTATCTGTACCCTATAAAGGAATACCAGTAGTAGTAGCAAAGTCTAATGCCACACATATACCACTCACACCCTTTTTTCTCCTAACTCATTAATCTTTCTTTGCTACTTAGTGATTGATTTAGAATTTTAAATGGGAATGTTTGGGTGAGGAGAATTAATTATTTTCAGTAAGAAGACTGCAAAAAGATGGAAACTAAGAGATGCTAGCTATTTAATAAAATTAATAATCATTTATTTTGCACTCACTACCTGCAAGAAACAAATATGCTTTATATTTATTATTTCATAATTCCCACAGTAATCCTTTGCAGTAGGTAATATTATTCTTTTTCATTTTATATATCAAGAGGCTAAGGTACAGAAAGGTGAAGTAACTGGTCCATACTCACACAGTTAAGGAATGGAATGGCAGGATTCAAACCCAGGTCAGCTGACACCAGGTCCCATGCTATGAAATTATGGAGTTGTGGTGTCCAGTATAGGAGCTGCTAGCCCATGTGTCTACCAAGCACATGAAATGTGGCTAGTCAGAACTGAGAGGTGCTGTAAGTGTAAAATACACAATGGGTTTTGAAAACTTAGTATCAAAGCATATAAAATATTAATAAATACTGGGCTTAAGAAGATGTATTATTAAAATTAATTTCACTACTTTCATTTTAGCTTTTCATGTGACTACTAGAAAATTTAAGGTTACATTGGTGGTTCACATTTATTTGTATTTCTATTAGACAGCACTATTAGAGCACTCCTTGCTCATATCTTACCTTCAGGGCAAAGAGCTTACAAGTTCTTTAGAGGATTCAGATTCAGCTCATATTTTTTTGAGTGACTACTATGTGCCCAAGGCATTCTGCTAAGTGCTTTCATGAACTATTTATTTCATTTAATATCTGTAACTGTTAAACTAGCCTAATTTATGTACAAGAATGCTTTATAATACCTAGAACAAAAAGGT